TAAGAACGTCTGTAAATTACAGGGATATCTTCTGGGATTAGCCAAGTGAAGCTCCGCACATTTTATCAAAGACTACAGGAGTAAAGTATATAACACAAAAAACTAGAGCAGAAGAAAGGGAGAGGGAAAGGAAAAGGGAAAGGACAAGGGAAAGGACAAAGGGAAGGACAAAAGGGAAGGAAAGACAAGAGGGATGAAAGAAGCAAAGAAGGAAGGAAGGAAGAAGGAAGCAAGGAAGGAAGGAAAATTTTAGAAAGTGAAAAGAAAGAAGTCACACCTAAACTCACCCTTTAGTATTTAGGAAATTAAATTCATTATATAGTTGACATAATACTGGATAAAGAAAATAAAAAAAAAGTTCAAATATTTCTTTGCCTTGTTAAGAATAAAATGCTGTATATTATCACAATCCGTGTTTTGTTTCTAGTAGTTACATTGAGAAACTAGGATTCTCTTCTACCTTGTTTCCTCTTTTATCACAGAATTTCTTGTACTTTTGAAAGAAAATGTGAGGCCATACAGGTCTTTCAGTAAGCTTAATATTACCTGTCAAAAGACTAAAAAAATCAGAGAAAAAAGAAATCAGCCCAATGACCCACAAGCTAAAATAATGTTTAGAATTCCTAAAACAGTGATTTTTTTGTTTGACATTTTTACCCCTTTGGTCAGCACTAACTCAGCAGATCATCATGTAGAAGGTTTCACTGATCTTGCTAACAAAATAGAGGTCATATTTTTATAAATTTTTTTCTTTAAACAAATTATCTTGTGTTTTCAAATCAGAAGCACATCTCCCTTTCTCATTTGACATTCCCATTTACATTTTCATACTGTAATTTTCCACAGATAATATATCATTGTAGCCACTGAGTGGGAAATCCTACTTCCATTAAAATCTTCATTCACAAATAGCCCTTTCAGGTGTATTTGTGTGATTCAGGATAATTATGGGCTAAACAATATTATTTTGCACTTTGTACCCTCTTTTAAGGATTCCTCTTAAAGAATGCACTTTCTGAAGGTAATTGATGCCATTTACTTTTTTTTTTCTCCAACAGTGGAACTGATAATTTTTTTTCCTACTGATGATGAGAAGCTGAAAGGTTTTAAATTAATTGTTCCTATTTTAGTGCAGATCCTTAGCAAAAATTATCAGTACCAATTATCAAGTGCGTGTAGAAAACATGGAGGCAGCAAAACTACTGGCCTCAGAAATGGCAGCATCAGCGTGTGAGCATAAACAGACTGCTGAAGCATTTCTAGCAGCTATTTCTTATAAATTCAAGCCATTCCTGTTCATTTACTCATTTGTGGATGCTGCCTCTTTGTGGCAGAATGCCATGTAAAATGTACCTTTCACATTAAGGACCTAATCCTATATTTCTATTGAAACCAGTGCAAACTCCTGTCTACGAGAAGTTTAGAATTACAGAGAAATATATATATATTATGTGAAAGAACATACACTGTTTGTAGGACCTTCTCATCCAAACCTTACGGAGTAAGCCATTCTCCTAGTGAGCGACAAAACCAGTGAGGCTGAAAATTTTCTTACTTATACCCATTTAACAACAGTGTCCCTATACCAAGTTTAAATGAAAGGAGAACCAGGCCATTGTTTTCAGTGGTTAGATGGGAGGTAATTCAAAATAAGGGCTCTAGAACAGCACCTGAATCAGCAACACTCACGTCTCTCACTAGGGTCAGTAAGAAGTCTGCAGCAGATCAAGAGCAGTACCCAGAATAGCCATGTGTTGTTTCTTTGGTGACAAAAATGCACTTCTTATATTTGCATTTCAAATCTAAATAACAGTTCACTTACTAAACTGTCCAAGCTAAATATAGTCATGTATTTTTTTTTGTTTTTGCTTTAGCTTGCTGTGGGTGGCATAGAGGGAAGAACACATGTTGACAAGACATTTATCTTGAATTCCAACAGACCAAGTTACAGAGCTTTTCTTTTTAAAGGGGGGGTGGGGAGGTGCATATTGTAGGTGAATAGGAAAAGCAGAACAGAACAGAGCCCTTTCGCAATAAAAAGATGTACTTGTCAGTAACAGTGCAAACAATTCCAAACATGATAACCTAATGAAGAAAGACAAAAACTCATGTGAAATATCACTTACCCTGTTCCATATATTAAAGAATACTTTAGAAAGAAAATAAAATGTAAATATAAAACTATCCTATTAAACATGTTGGTGAGAAACATACCTATGTATCGCTCTCTAACCCATGTTATATATGCTGCTAATTACAGTCTATTGTGTTTTAAAAATAAAGAACATGTGTTATGCTTAAAATTGTTTGGTCTTTCTGATCAGGCATGATTGCTAGTAAGGAGAATTCGACATACAAACAGATGATTCTAGCAAGAAATTTTAAACTTCAGATACTCATTACTTCATGTTCTTACATTTGAAATATTAATCAACTGTTTATTCAGAAACTATTAAAAAAATCACATGTGTGGGGATACATATGAGACATCAGTTGTCCCATCTTACAGTGATGCTGTGTTTATGAATATTCTTGCCATTGCCTGCTGCCCAAAGGGGTAAAGACATTGTATATAGATGTGTACAGTCCATCATTTGGTCTTTCAAGGTGCCAGTAAACACATGGATCTGTACAAGTGCAATTGTACTTGACTAAACAATCAGAAACTGGCTACACAGTTGTCAAATCATTATATTTTGGTTGAGTAATAAAAATTAAAAAAAAAAAAAGAGGGAGAACCAACAAACCAAAATGAAAACATTTGTTTTTCCTGCTAGAATGAATGACTTCTACATGTCCCTCACTAGTTCGCCCAACCATGTGCCCTAGCAGGAGGTTGCTGAAAGGTACATTTTTAAAGAGAGAAGCATATTTCTTTCTATTATAACCAGATTATATGTATTAGATTGTCTATTAAGATTTGGTCATAACTGTTGTTAACTGTAATGATTTAAAAGGTTCCTCAATACTGCATCAGCTTTGGAAAAAAAGCTCTGAATGTAGTGCAACTCTTCTGAGCAACCCACAGACTCTGGACCCCATCCTGAAAAAAGAAAAAAACACTTAAACTTCCCAGGAATTTTACTTGTAAGAATAGTTCTGTATCCTTTACTCTACTACAGTTTTTTGGGCATTTGACTAACTTTGCTCAGTGAGTGAGTCTATGGAGACTACACACAAGTAAAGTTGTTCATGAGTGAAGTTGTTCATGTGCTTAAGTGCCTGCAGGATGAAGGCCTAAGTTGGGACTTCTTTCATGAGTAAAGATTCTCAAGTGAGTAAGAATTTGTAGGATTAGGCCCTAAAATAGTGACGGAAAGAGAAATGCTAATGTGCATATAAAAATAGGTGCTACAATAAAATATTTTTTATATTTCATCAATAAGTTATTTTCACTAACCAGTTATGGATCATATATCTCTGCACTCTTTAATGATTTGTCCACATCTACGGTGATCCTTTTAAAGATCATAATATATTTTTTAATTCAAAAGTCCAGAAAGCATACAAACACATCCTTAAAAAAAGGAAACCTTGTATTAAAGTCGGGGTGTGCTAATCTCTCCAGAAAAGCCATTTAGATTCACCCATGGCTAAAAGGGGAAAATGTGCGCTGTACTCTTCAACAAGAATGAAAATAAAATTAAACAATGTCTCTCCAAAGAAAGGTGACCACGACTTTTGTACTTGCAACCTGAACAATACGACTTGACAAGACCCTCCTGCCACCTTCCCCAAGCGCACACCAGCACACACATAATGCAAGTGTTGCGCCCCGTTTACACAATAGGTGGTTTCTTACTTACAAACACAGGAAAAGAAAAAAAAAAACATGAAAAGAAAATAAAAGAAATAGCACACCATTTCTGAATCATTGCCCGAAGCTGAAAAATCCTGTGCCAAGGCACTTCACCCTACAACAAAACGAATTAAAGGGGGGGGGGGAGGGGGGACGG